GCCGAAGGCGTGAGACGCAGACAGGTGTATCAGGCAGCCAATGGGGAGCCACGCACGGTGACATAGACAGTGAATCGAGCGCAGGAGACGCACGCAGCCAATAGGGACGTCAGAGAGTGGGCGGTGGAAGAGGCAGGGTGATCGGTGAATCAATGGGGAGACCTGAATGGGGGTGGTGTAGTGTCTGGGATGAAGAGAGAAGCAGGACAGCTAATGGAGAAGCATGAGCGGGGTTGGCATCTGGGTGGCGGGGTAAATCGAATGGCTACAGGCGACGGGGGCAGCTGGCAGCGAACAGAGAGGCCTGAAAAGTAGGAGATCCCAGGGTTGCGTAGATAGGTGGTTGAAAGCTAGAGACAGCGAACAGCCAATGGGAGCCACGCGCCGGTGTCGTAGAGGAGGGGTGACGATAAAGGATGCAGCGAGCCAACGGGGAGTCTGTGAGCCTGCATGAAGCCTTTTCAAGGGGTGGTGCCAGGGCGGAACTAGTTCTTATGGAGGCCAGAAGGAGCTTGAGAGGCGGTGTGTGAGTGCGTCGGAGGCGGGACTGGAGGGACAGAGCCGATGGGGATGAAGGCGGGAGCAAGGAAGAGAGATGGCAGATAGCCAATGGGGGAGCCAGAACTAAGTGGAGCCCTCAAAGGGTAGTGCAAAGGGACATAGAAGCGAGATATGAAAGATCAGAGCCTACGGGACGTTATAGGTGGTGTGTAGGAGGGAATAAAGAGCCAATAAGGAAGCAGGAGGAGAGGACAGTGCGTAGGCAGTCTGGGCTATGGGGTGGTCAAGTAACAGAACCATAAAATGCCTCTTGTGAGTGAATTTACCTGCTCCCTAACCCTCCATGACTCCCCATTGCCCCCGAACTGTGAATCCCCAAAGCCCCTCAAGACCTAGACTGCACTCTGGTGCGAAATCTAAGAAAGCAAAATGAACTCTCCTGTCGCAGTTACTGGATCTCCTCTGCCTACCTCCAAGCCTTTGCTTGAGTGTGACTAGGCAAGGATGCCCCTG